GATGCCCGCGACCAGGCGCGCGGCGTGGGGCTGGAACAGCGCCTGGACGCGGCCCGTGTGGTGCGCCACGCGGCTCTGCAGCTCCTGCAGCAGGCTCCAGGCCTCGCCCGCGCCCCCCAGCAGCTGGGCCTTGGTGTCCTCCCCGGCCACGCGCAGCTGCTCCTGCAGCTCCTGGACGCTCAGGGCCACCTGCTCCATCAGGTCGGTGGCGTAGGGCTTCAGCTGCTGCCGCAGCCCCTCCAGGCTCCAGCCCACGCGCTGGTGCACCTCGGCCATGTAGGGCTCCAGGCGCACCCTCAGCTCCTCCAGCTCCTGCTGCAGCTGCTGCCGCAGGCCCTCCGGGTCGGGCGGGAGCCTGGGGGTCTCCCTCCCCGGCCCACGCAGAGGGCCCAGCTTCTCCAGGAACTTGTCCATATTGTTGAGGTCTTGCTCAAGGCTGCCTTTCAGGCTCCTGGGGGAGGGGTCAGACATCGGCCGTCAGACCGCCAGCCCCATCATCTGCTTTGCCCCAGACATCGCTCACTGATCTGAGCAAACCAAGGATGTAGGGTGGTGATCCCAGGGCTGGGGGCTAGTCCTAGACTAGGGTCCACCGCACCTGCTCACACAGAAAGTACAAAACCTGGCGCAGGCCAACCCAGACCAACATCCCCAAGGAAGCGCAGGCGCACCGGGACTCTCGCCCAGTCCTTCGGCTCTGGGGGCGCAGAGGGGTTCTCTCCGCCCCAGGTCCCGCCCTCAGCCCACAAGGGGCAACAACCCTAGCGAGGTGAGAGCGGGGTGGGGGGCTGCTGCAGAGGGCTCGGAGCAGGCCCGCTCAGCACCCCAGGGCCTGCCGCGCCCCTTGCGCTGGCCACTCACGCGGACTCCCGTGCCAGCTTCTGCTGCTGGGTCTGCTCCGCCCTGCCTTTATCCCCACTGCTCTGACTGAAGTCGTCCCAGGTGCCTTTCCATGCCTGGGCGGTTGAAAATGCTGTGGAAGGGATGGGCGGTCAGGGGCTGGGTTCCCCCCAGGGTTGCGGCCCCCTCGGTCCAGCTGCGCCCTCACCCCCACAGTGGAGTCGGGGTTGGAAACCCACCTGAGAAGAGCGCCAGAGCCCAGGTCAGCGCCGCAGCCATGCTGGCCGTCACCTGCCCTGAGAACGAAGGCGAATGGCAGCCTGGTTACAGTGAGGAAGCAAAGAAGCGGCATCTCTCGGGCCCTGCCCCAAATCTGTGAACACTTCCCTGGCGTGTAGGGGGCACAGAGCTGCTGGGGCTGGACAGGACTGGCCCGTGTAGGGGGCACAGAGCTGCTGGGGCTGGACAGGACTGGCCTAAGTGACTGTGGCTGGGAAGAAAGGGGTGTCTTCTGGGGGGGCTCTTCTTTCACCTCGGTCACATAACACCACCCTCCCCAGGTCCCGGGAGAGCTCTCTAGGCCACGCCCACCCCCACTCCCTCATCCCCCTGTCCTGCCTCCCATGTGATGACTGGGGAAACTGAGGCTTCCCAAGGGGGAAGGAGACACTCTTTGCCAAAGTGCTCCATGAGGATGTTCCTAGTTCCCACCCAGCTTTCTGCTGAGACCTCTGCAGTCCTCTCAGAGGGGCTCTGCCCCAGTGGCTCACCTGCTCGGTTCTGGGCACAGAGAGCAGACATTCCGCTTTATACTCCAGGGGCCCCGGCCTCTGGCAGCAATTCCTTTGAGTAAATACCACGTGGAGGTTCAGAGAAGGATGACCTCTGCTGCCTCCTGGTGCTTGCCGCCTGCCCTTTCTTGGCACCCACAGAATTAATGAGTGCCCTCATATCAGGGGCTGGCCCAGTAGAAAAGGGCTTCCTGGAAAGTTTTACAAGGAGTGGGGCTGAATTCCTCACCCAGTTCACCCAAAACCTCATGACCTTCAACCTCCCCACTCACCTGCTGGCTGGCCCAGCAACAGAGCCAAGACTGTTTGGCTGCTGAGGCCTACTCTTACTCAACTGCCCAGAGGCACTGTGCCCAACAGACAGGGTCAGTGGCCCGCTGCCAGCCTGACCCCAAGCAGCCCTTGAGAGCTCCACTGCAGGCTACTTAGGCAGATAGGAGAGTCAGCATTTACAGGTAAAGACCCTCCCACTCCCCTCCGTGAAATAATCCTGGAACAAGCAGAAAGTCAGGTGGAGGTGAAGAGATGGTAAGAGGCAGAATCTGAACCAAGGTCTTGGGGCCCAAAGAACTGAGGCAAGAGCAAGATTCTCCTCCTGGGGAGAGGCTGAGCTTCACCCACAGGGCCTCTGAGGAGGGGAAGCCAAAAAGCCCAGACCATTCTCTGATGACATGCCCACTCCATATACTTAAACACACACATTTGTAAGTTTCTGATTTTTGCTCCTAAATATATCTTGAGTCGATCCCCTCTCCCTATTTCCACCACCAGTCTTATCACAGCTCACCTGTCTCTCACCTTGATCACATTTGGAGCCTCAAGTGGGTCTCTCTGCCTCAGTCCTGCCTATTCCATCTGTCCTCTGCTCATCCCAACCCACCTCCAGTCTCATCTCCTGTCACACAAAACCCTTGACATTCTCTGAACATATCACCTCTTTCACACTGACAGCTGACTTATCAGCAATATGTCTTCAAAAGGCTGAAAGTAAATTAATGGCAAACCAAGAATTATATTCAGATAAACTATTATTCAATAGTAACAAGTTAATTTTAAAGAAAGACTGAGAGGCTGTATCATTCACAGATCCTCACTGAAAGATCTAGTAAGGGTATGAAAAGGAAACAGAGCCCAGAGAGAAGTGGGATACAAGTAGACTTGGAAGCAACAAACAATAGAATTGGTAAATGTTTAGGTAAATTGAAAATGCATTAGTTATTTTATATGTATTTATAAATATGTGTGTATATGTATTTAAATACACATATATTTAAACCACATGAGATTAGCTTTTTTATAACTAAAACTTGGCAATTTCATATCGTTCAACCTAACTTTTTTTTTTTATCTTAAATCCTCTCCCAAGGATATTTTTTCCATTGCTTTTTCAGAGAGAGTGAAAGAGAGAGAAACATCGATGTGAGAGAGACACATCTATTGGTTGCCTCTTGCACCCCACCAGGGCCAGGGATCAAGCCTGCAACCAGGGTACATGCCCTTGGCTGGAATCAAACCCGGGACCCTTCAGTCCGAGGGCCAGCGCTCTAACCACTGAGCCAAACTGGCCAGGACCATAAAGGATTTTTATATGTAGTTTTGTCTGTCTTATACACTGCCATATTTCCGTTGCTTAAAACATTGCTTGTCACATGGTGGAGACCTCAATAAATAGCTGTGGATGAAGAGACTACTTAGGAGGAAGTGTTATCAACAATGAGAAACTAAGATATTAGACCAAAGTAGCATGGAAAATGGGGAAGGAGACATTACAGCTAAAGCATTCTGCAGAGTTTGCATTATTCAGCAAGAAAATAGACATGTAGATTATCTTTAGGCTTTGTCAAGCTAAGCAAGAATATTAAAATTTTTAAGGATGTCCCATTAAAAGAGTACAAAGAATGGTTAACTTTCAAACTGGTGTATAGGGAAAAAAGACTGAAGACCATCAGATTGCCTTCTGGTAAAGGGTGGTGAATTGATTGAAAGCATTAGCCTCTGCTCTTCTCTGAAATCCTGACAATGACATGAAAGTGCAGTTTATTAAAAAAACAAACAAGACATAAACCCACAAAGAGAGTAGAAGAGGAGACAGAACACATTTTGGAAGCTGGAAAGTTTTCATATGGTAGTAACTGGACATACCCTAGAAGATGAATTTTGAAGCAGCAATGGAGAAAGTCAACAGCCCCCCCCTGATTTGTACTACTGAGCTCCCCAAAAGCCCAGGCATTAGCAGCAGCACTCTCCTGGAAGAGTGGGTGACACTGGGGCTAACCACGTGCCCACGGTCCGAGGCCGCTTAAGAAGCAGATGGCTCTCCCACGCCGCGCAGCTGCAGGAAACCCGAAGCTTATTCTCAGGAAAGGACTGCAAATGGGTCCCTGGCCTGTTGTAAACAAGGCAATGCTGAGAGCCATGGTTCTTGTACTCAAAAAAGGGTGATTTAAGTAAAACTTTCTGTATTAAATTATAAGACACCTCCTTCCACACACCATCTTTCCCTTTGGCCAAAATGTTGGCCAGTTAGACTTTACCCTCCAGTGACTGGAGCACTATCCTGAGAGAAATGTGACTAACCCAGGAAAGTAGACCTAAAGAAACACTTTGGGGGGTTCTTTGGGGTCAAGTTGGTCCATTCTCAAGACACCCATGGACTCAAGTCTTCACATCAGCTCCTAATTTACTACGAAAATTTTCAAACATATAGAGAAGTTGAAGGACCAGCACAAGGATCACCCTTGCACTCACCATCTAGGTTCAGTAATTGTTAATATCTTGCCATGTTTTTTTAAATCCTCACCTGAGGATATGTTTTTATTTATTTTAGTGAGAGGAAGGGAGAGAGAAATAAAAACATTGATGTGAAAGAGAAACATCAATCGGTTGCCTCCTGTATGTGCCCAACTGGGAATTGAACCCAAACCTTTTGGTGTATGGGACGACACGCCAACCCACTGAGCCATCGGCCAGGGCTATTTTGCCATGTTTGCATCCTCTGTATATGTGTTTTATGCATTTGGAAGTTGCAGATAGCGGGCACTTTTCCTCTAATAACTTCAGTGTCATATCCTAAAAAATAAGGGCACTCTTCTACAAAGCCACAATACTCTCATCATACCTAGGGAAATCAACAATAATTCCATAGCATCATTGACTATGCATTCCATGCTCAGGTTTCTCCATTTATCCTTTAAATAGCTTTCAGTATGGTTTCACTATTTTTTTCTATGAAGACCCAGTAAGGGTTTGTGCTCTGCCCTGGTTGCCGCGTCCTCTCCCAACCATGTCATCTGATAAAATCCGGACATGGAGAGGAAGCTTCAAGGAAGCTGTCTTCTGGGGAGAGAACGTGGCATGTGGGTGGGAGGAATTGGCTTAATGGGAATATATCTTCTCCTCCTTGGAGGGGGATTTTGGGCCATAAATCAATAACTAACCTGGGAATGGTAAACAGTGTTCTCACTTCTGAAGAAATCCCGATTTCCCCAAGTCCAGTCACTATCACATGTCCGGATGCTTTAACAAATTGTTATTAGAAGAAGCCAGGAAAACTCCCCATGGTGCCCCCAATAAGGAATTTATGGAGGAACTAGAGAAAGCTGAGCTCACACAGCCGCCTATATTCAAGTGCCCCGCCTATGAATGCAAGGTTGGTCAAGGACAGGAAAAAGGCCATCGCCCCTCGCCTACTGCACAAGGACCACCCTGGGTAGCACGTAGAATAAGTGGCAGATTGTGGCATCCCCTGAAGGGGCTAAGAGTATGGAAAGGCCACCAGACCCGCCTCGGCCTTACACAGGTGCTTCCAATGGGAACGGTATCAGAGCAGTTACTGTAAGTGGAAGGCATGGTCAGTGTGAGAACTTGCCCTTCATGAAATGCTTGGCAAGGAGGCGGCCACGCTGGTGCTCGCTCCCAAAGAAACAAAAGAAAAGCATTCTTAGCAGTTAATCCATAGCTATGGCAAAAGGCACTCTTTTCTTAGAAGAAAATGGCAAGAAGAATATAATAGCTTAAGAATAGGTCCATAGTTAAAATACAACCATAAGAAGTAGTAACCACAGGCAAATAGTATATAAAATTTCTGTCTCACAAACTAGTATATTACTGCTGCAAACAAAGCCGCATCTACCACTCTATAGGTCACTGATTTTTCCTTTTTCCTCTATTCTAAAAAATAAGTCAAAATTGTTCCATTCTGATGAAATCGAACTTGTATTGTTTAACCTGTGAATAATATTTCTTGCTTGCTAACCGAAAAAATGTAATCGTAGCCAAAAAAGAAAGTATAAAAGACTATGTTGATTCTCAATAAAGTGGAAAGACTACACCACCTCCGAGTCGTGTAGTCTGCTGTCTCCCAGCGCCGACGCCTTGCCCGCCTTCGGGACCCCTGACTCCTGCTGTGGCTGGACCACGGCACCTGGTTAAGTACTCTTTTAACTCTACTAAAATATTTCTACTTTTTTTTTTAGTGACGTTAACTTT